TTTTGAATATTATAAAGTTGAAATTATTTTAAAAATTATTATATGAGGGAAGAAATTGTATAAAATATAATATTATAACATTGATATAATCAAAATTGAAAAAAGTAAATAAATTTAAAATAAATTTATTGAATTGCAAATAATATATATATATATGTGTGTGTGTGTGTGTGTGTGTGTGTGTGTGTGTGTGTGTATGTGTGGGGTTAAAAGGATTATCATTTTAACAAATCAAGTAGAAAAATGAATATTCTTTTGAATAATTAACTTTATTATTTTTTATTTATTAATTATATATTTAATTTTTTCTCGTTTGAAATATTAATTTCACCACATCTTTCTTTTGATAAATTACTTAATTTTCAAGCTCCCGTGTTGTTCACAGACATTATATGAACTGACGAATAAATTATAAAATAATTATCCTATTTAATTTTAATAAAAAAAATGAGTATATAAGAAATAGAAAATAAAAACACATCATAAAATTATCTTATAGCATTCAAAATAATATTGAAAAAATATTCTATTAATAATGATCTATAGTTTTTTAACTTCTCAATAAGAATTTCAATCATTTTTCAATTTTTGTGGAACAATCAGTTTTTTTATGAAACGCCCATGTAATTCATCGGATGTTGTACTAATTGTAAATGTTATGGTAATTAACATGGAGTCAAAATTGTGGGTTTGTAAAGGTGTGCACTTTGCTGACAAAAAGACACGAATTTGTTATTGTTAACACGGGCATTGCATTGCATTGCATTTTTATGTTCTAATCTAGCTGGTCCACATCAAAACGAATAGTATGGCCCATTAATAAACATCAAAACTAAATGTATGGCCCATTAGCAGAAAGAAAACGTCGTAGTTGGGTCCGTACCACTCAAAAATTGTTAGACAAATATGCACAACATACCAGACTGCCCAGCTAATCAGAAGTGGGGCCCACACTAAAACTATTTTTTTTTTTAAAAAAAAGTAATAAATGTCCTGGGATTTGGTCGCTGAGGCAAAAGTAGAATAAAAAACCCACGCTCGCACTCTCCACACCACAAACCAAAAACAAAAGATAATTTAATTAAAGGGGAGAAAAATAAAGATGGAGTCGCCTGCGATCGAAAATCTAGGAGACTCAAAGGCGGCGG